AATACAGAAAACCATGCATCGCCAATTAACCCACCGTGCTTATCTTTGGACTGAGGGAGGAGAAAAAACCCACACGGACACACGCAAACTGCACACAGAAAGGTTCAAACCCAGAACCTTCCTGCTGTGAGGCTGTGAGTGCTAACCACTGCCCCACCGTACCGCCCCAGGAAGGAATCTAAAGCTTCAAATTAAGATGTCAGGACAGTAAAACACTGTTGTCCCTTCGTGCAAAGCATAAAGAAGAAGCTGAAGAAAATCCTACAGTGCTTGCAAGGACGATGTCTCGTTTCTAATTAGACTGGCATGTTCAGCATGTGCATGTGTTTCCTCTTTATGCAGAACTTATAAAGAGCAATTATTACTTTATTCTAACTCCAAATAGAATAATAAAATAAAATGAGCATGGTATGGAATTAGGAAACAAATGTATTTTCTAAGTGACTTTCAAGCACAAATGTAAATATTAATAAAAATAATAATGGTTGAATTTTGTTTGGCTGTTTCAGTCCCAGCTCACACGTAGATTATTAAAGGATGGTTTTTGCTTGTTTGTTTTCAAAAACAATCTTCGTCCATATGAAAAGCCCCAAATGAAGTGCATGCCAAACCAACAGGTGGCGATATAAACATAACCGTAAGCCAAGCTATTACAGGCTGCTGATAATGGAGCGCTGACGAGGGGGCTGATTCTAACACCTCCCTTCTTTACTGTAGCAGAGGAGTAACTGTACATGTGTTACAGTCAAAACGTCCTGTTAGCACGTTCAGCAGCAGCAGCCCTATTTTTGAACACGAGCACCATTGAGCAAAATTGCCTCATGTAAACAAGGAGATAACGGAGCACGCTCTGACGTCAGAGGACAAAAATGTCCTTGTCTAAACATCAACTCTGCAAACAGTTTCTGAAAATCATAACAGTGGGAAGAGTTTTCCAACAGCTCTCTTTGTCGTGACCTAAAACTGCCTTTGCATGTGGGCAAAAGGTCAAAATGCATTGAAAAAAAAAAGGCTGCATTTTAAATATTACCTGTGCACATGTGGATCTATGTTAGCGTTATGAGGAACACCTGTGATTTACCTGTTGTGAAGATGTCTGCTGTGAGAAAGGGGGCTGCAGGCGACCTTAAAAAACAACACATAGCTGAACACATGTCAGAAGCCCCCTGGTAGGACTCTAAGTTATGGGTTGTGTGTGTTGAATGCATACCTGCTCCATACCTGCGTGACCTCACCGTGCCTCTTTCTGGCTCCGTGCCCTCAGGTGTGTTTGTGTTTGTGACTTTTGCAGAAACCTCTGAACTACCTGCCTCCACTTCTTTCCCTCCGTTTCACAAACCGGACCCTCGTTTGCCCACCTCCCCTCCGCCTAAAACCCCATCAGCATTCAAAAGAAGCAAACTGTCGCGGACTGTTTGCTCGTTTCTCACTGATGACGTCTCCGCTGTATAACTCTATAAACCACAGTCATTTCCGACGCTGCAGTTGTTTCTGCTTACATGCCAAATAATGTGTAATCACATGTGTCAGGTTGCACCTCATGAGGATGAGTGTTTACCTAACCGCAGCCATGTCTGTTTCAGTTCCGACCATAACAAACCTGGAGATGTCGAAACACTCGCGCTGCTGGTCCTTTTCGACTGTCTTGTTAGCGTCAGACCTGCAGTTTCATTGCACTGTTAAAGGTTAAATATATCTCCTATTAATCATGTAATGAGATCTCTCGGGCCGCTTCCGGATCTGTGGCTCGGCAGAGGCACATGGTTTGGCGACCACACTGCGGTGCCTCTACTACTAATACTGAGATATAATAAGACCACAGCAGCAGTCATTTGAGGAGCATATTATGATATATTCCTGAAGTGGCCGTCGTTAGTCCGAACTGCACGGGACTGTCTGTGTGTGTCGGACCACAAGAGCGGTCGTCTCTGCATTTATTACCTCCATTAGAGGATGTTTGGGCTCAGGGCTGCATGGGGAACTTTTGAACCCCAGGTGAAGCAAATTCCCACATGTCTAGCATCAAGCATTTTTTTTCTTCTTCCCGAAATTGTGACCGCACCCCATTTAGGCCTGTGCATGTACTACAATTACCGTTCTGATGAAACAGGGGAAAGGCTGTTGCACCAGAGCCGCAAGCCAATTGATCGCTTCCTGGTGATTAATACCATATCAATACTTTGGCCTTTGAAGACCACCGACAATTCTGTGGGGCACAATAGTTGTGCACGTTGCTCTGAGGAAATAGGTGTAGGTGGGGTAAGCGTCTGACATTTGGTGTGTACAAAGGAAACTTCTTCCTTGTCATGCGTTGACTTTCTCTTTTTAAAGTGCTACAGAGTGATCTGGGTTCAGCGCCGCCTCTCCACAAAAGAGGCTTCTCATTAACTTGATTAATGGATTAACTGAGTGATGCTTTTACCTGAGTTTCTCTCGTGAGTATGTTGTGTGAGAGCATGTGCTCCTCCCTGCCCGCGGCCTCGGCTGCTGCAGGCGAGGAATCACTGTTTAGCGTTGTGTTTGACCCGGGCCATTAGATGTTTAAACTTGTGTCTCCTCCTCATTAAGCGTTGGCAGATGCCAGACACTTGAGAGCATGTGATGAGACATTGATGAAACGGCTGGTATTTGTTTTCTCGCTGCCTTCTGGTGATGCTGCCAAAAGCATTTCTGGGCTTTTTGTGGAGCCGAGTTGATGACAAAAACAGCGGTAACGGAGAAATTCCTGACACACGACATGACATGAGGTCAATCCAGCTCCTGTCACTTACGAGCTGGTACGTAGCAGTGGTGGTGCACACACACACATGGTTTAACACACTCCTAATGTGTGGTGAAGATGTTAGAAACTGGTTCTCTACAGGTCAGCAAGAAAGTGAGCACCATTCACACCTTGAGTTTTCAGCTGTAAATATTCCTCCTAGTTACAGGAATGCACCATGATCTAGCTGTTACAGTGACACTATGACATCAGATATAGAGCATTCATTATTTTCCAGGTATAAACGCACCCTTCATCAGTCAGAGTTTGGCACCTAAAGCCTTTTTTGCAACCAGTAGGTTATGGTGGCTAAAGTTGCTTAAGTGTCAGCAGGTTTGGTAGCTTTGTTACTGACAATAATGAGCTATTTCACCCAATGACTCCTTCCTGCTGTTGTGTCATTTGGCTTTAATATTTAGCAATACTGTGAAATCGTTGTTTGCGTTTAAAGGTGCAGTATTTAACATTTTCAACATAGAAATAGCAATAGTATAGCAGCAAACAACTACGAAACTATAAACCAACACTGAGCCCCTGTTCTGTGTTTTAAAGCCAGTCCATCATGTTAGTGCATGTGAGTCCCTTTCTTTGAGACTGTCGACCATCTCGTGGTCATTTTAGCTCAGTGTGAGAGTCTCTACTGTTGTTTTTGTTTTTCCTTCTGCTTCTCCTTCTCTATTCGTGTCCGTTACTCTTTCTGGGTCTGTTTGCGTGCATGGGTTTGCTCCGGTCCAGCAGACCGTAGAAACAGTCACACATGGAGCGGAGCAGACCCAAGCACAAGGAGGAGAGGCAGCTGAAGTGAAGGTGATGTTGTTCAAGTTTACAGCAGCTTGTTACTGGTTTGATCTCGGGGAACTTCACTTAGTAAAGACCCAGAACTAGACTAGAGCTAAACCTAGACTCAGGGGCGTCAGCCGTCGGCCTCGACCAGCTGAGAGGAGGCTTCTTGTATGTTAAGGGATTTGATTTTATTAATAAAGCCACAGAAAATTATTTTTTTCATTTGTGCACTCTCACTGCTTCCATCAAGATATTTCCATCAGAAGCGAATAGACACCAAAAACAGACTTGCAAGGAGAGTGAATATTAAACAAAAAATAATTAAACAATAATGTTGCTCTGTGTCTATTGGATGCATACTTTTTTTTTGCTAACTTATTTGCTAACCAGTGTAGTGGCAGTAACATATTTTGCAATTAAATCAGGGGCCTGGTTATCTGCACAATCTGTGTGGTGTTGTGGTGATGAAAGGCACTGAAATGTTTGATTGATTCACACACTCAGAGAGTTGTGGTGTGGCTCCTAACTGCTCCCTCACAGCCACAAATGTCCTCATTGTCCATGCTTCCTCCAAGCTGTTTATACATTAAAATGTAGCACAGTGCAGTGAGATGAGGGGATTTAGTGGCACTGTTTGGTGCTATAGCTTTAACCAGGGTGTGGGAGAGCTGCTGCACATGTTCAGAGCCTAGTTTGAATACAAAATGTGCCTTATTTGCATGTTTGGCTGATACTGCACCTACTTTCTTTCGTTCAGGATTTCCCCTTTTTGTTTTCACTCAGTCAAACAATCCTCCGCTGTTTCTTTTACCTCTATTCTCTCGACAAATTGGAGGAACGTTTAGATCAGGCGGCAGATTGTGCTGAAGCCTTACGACTAACACTCTGTGCCTGTCGTCCAGAGTCAGGTGGAAAGGTGGCAGGAGGAGCTGTGGTCTGAGGCCTGAGGCTCATGGCATGACTGCCACCTAGTGATGGTTTAACACACTGACACACATGGACATGAACAGTCCGCTGTGTAACTGACCTCTGCAGGGCTCATGTTGAGTGTTGCTTGGGTGACGAGCCAGCCGACTAAAGGTGTAGATCAGTTCATGAATTCACCCCAAATTTTGCAAATGTGGTTTGGACACATTGCTCTCTGTCTGCTGTGTGTTTTAACTGTCATCTATATTTTTAATATATATTTGATACACATTTGAATTTTATATACTCACCTATGTTTACCTCTAATTACACTTATTGTTATCATATATTATACAGAATATTATTATCATTACTATTATTATTACTATCATCACTCTGTGCTGTTCTTGCTAATAATTTGTTTCCTGTTTTTTTGACGTGCTATTATTGTCTCTGTCGGTGTTGTGCTGTTTCCCTGAGGTACCACAAAGGGATCAATAAAGTTCTATCTAATCTAATCTAATCCAATCATCTGTCCTGTCTCCTTCAGGCTCGCATGGCGCTGGATAAAGGAGCTCAGGCTGTTATCTTTGATGTCAGCGATGACGCCAACGCCGCCGCTGAGGTGAGTGTGCAGACGCAGCTACAGCTTTATTCTTTTATAAAATCTGTAAGACAAAAAAAAAGAAAAGCATTCAGAAATGTCACAGTCATAGCACTGCTGTGTCTTTTTTTTCTCACTCACACAGCTGCGAGAAATCGACTCCCTTCCCCGTCCAGTTGTTCTGGTGGAGGCTGAGGATGCTGAGGAGCTGATGGGGTTGGTCAACAAGAACGAGGAGGCCAAAGTTGTCATTGAGATCAAGATGGAGCCTAAATGGGTACGTAATGAAGCACGGAAACATCTGTTGTGGTTCCTTCACTGGCTGAAAGAAGAGGAACTCCTGTGAGAAGCAGCAGAACAGAAAGGACAGAAAACTGATGTCATCTTAGTCAAGAGGCAACTTGTTAATGTTTTGAAACACATTGGTACTGATGTGGAGCATGATTTCTGATTGGGCATCAACACTGAGCAGATACCTTTAAAGTCAGTTTCACAGATTTACAAACTCAAAGAGAGCCTCTCCTAGTTTTGTGAGATGTGTCTAAACAGCATAAATTTTGCTCTTGTTCCTCTTTTAGCCACACTACGACGTGGGCATCCTGCTCACCATCGTCCTAGCTATTCTCACCATCGTCCTGATCTTTGCTTTCCGCTACAAATGCAAGTCCAACAGAACCTGGGTGAGTGAAAGCAGCACTGTTTGTAGGCAACTGATATCCAGCCAGAGATGTTTCAGATGTTTTCCTAACGCTCCTCCTCTTATGCTCACAGGACTCTGTCCATCAGCAGACCATGCGGGCCATCAGTCGACTGGAGACCAAACCCTACAGTTCTCAGGGCTGCTCGGGCTCACAGCGCCACCGTGGGGCCTGGGGTTCGGCCAGCAGCTCCAACTCAAGCCCCGTCTGCGCCATCTGCCTCGAGGAGTTCCAGGACGGACAGGTGAGATGAGAGAGAGCAACAGGTAAACCGTGTACGATCAGCTGTTTCTTGTTAGTTATTTAACCTCTGTCTCGTTTCCATCTCAGCATCTGAGGATCATCTCCTGCGCTCATGAGTTCCATAAAGACTGCGTCGACCCCTGGCTGCTGCAGCACCGCACCTGCCCCCTGTGCATGCACAACATCATGGGTGAGGACCAGCGAGTTTGTAGTAAAAATGACACAGAAACAGGAAGACTGAAGGAATCTTTCTATTTCCATTAACTATATTTTTACTATATTAGTTTTGAGCAGGAAAACTTTACAAAACGAAACTTTGCAAAAATGTGTTTATTTTTCTCATCTGTTGACAACTTGGAAATACATCTGTGCTGCTTTTTAGAGGGTAAAATTTGGAATTTAAAGACATTTTACAGTTTTACTTACAACAGCTACTGTGAGACATTTTTTGGAGACTTTCTCAGTGCTCCATACAAAGACGGTACCACTGTGTTCTGACACTGCTGTGCTCCACAGGGACAGAGCGACAGGCCCAGAGGAGCAGACTCCAGCAGAGTCCAGAGCAAAGCCAAGGCTTCCTGCACCCTCAGCCCTACAGCGGCCCACACAACCACCCCTTCCCCCAGCATGCCATCCCCTTCTCTATGAGGCCCCACTATCCTCGTGGGCCCTCTGGACCTTATCCCAGTCTGGGCCATTACAATGGCTCCTCTCCCATGGACTCTCAGACTTTACGTTTCCTCACCAGTAGGCCGCTGGGCTCAGGCTGTGGGTACCACCTTCCTGCAGAAGGTCCAGGTCGGCCCCACAGGATTGGAGGTAACTGCAGGACTTCTACGCACCACTACACCCCCCGTCGGTCCTGCCACAACTATCGCTCGTCCTGTCCAGCCCAGCGCAGCGCATCCAGCTCCAGACTGCATCACACTGTCTCGGTCACACCACAGACCCGTGGAGCGCCGGCCCACAGCCGGCAGGACGATGGTAGCTGCTCTGGAGGGAGCTATCGCACAGAGCGCAGCGGGTACTTGGCCGACGGGCCAGCGAGTGACTCCAGCTCAGGGCCATGCCACGGCTCCTCCAGCGACTCAGTTCTCAACTGCACCGACGTGTCCCTGCAGGGAGTTTATGGCAGCTGGTCCACCTTCCGTAGCTCTCTGAGTAGTGACTATGACCCGTTGGTGTATTACGGGCCGGGTCCTGGACGCGGCCCCCGCAGGAACAGTCTGGAGGCTGGTGCCCAGGCCCGTCCCAGGTCTCTGGATTCTGTGGTGAACAAAGCGGGCTGCCCTGAAGAACAGCCGCAGACTGTATTCAGCCACATCCACTACCACCGCCACAGACACCACCACTACGAGGAGGGGGAGCACAGCCAGGGCCAGAGCAGAGGCTCAGACGAGGAGCAGGGAGCTGCTGCAGCTGTCACTGCTCCCCTTGTCCTGGACAAAGACTCCCCTGTGTGCCCTCCGAAGCACAGCCCCTGCAACTGCCCCAAGCCAGACCCCACCGACCGGCCCAGCCCTGGGATGGAGTGTCAGGACCACGACCCCAGCAGCCCTGCGGGACCTCCGGTCCTCGTGTCCCCAATCCCCTTACAGCTCCAGCCCCACTGCTGCCACCAGGGACACGGACACGCTGCGGCTGCTCTCGGGCGAGTGGGGGGCTGTGTGCTCGATGGTCCTTCTGTTCGTTTCCACCAGAGCCTGGATCTGCAGGACGATCGTAGCATCCACATCCACTACGGTCAGGGCCAGGGCTTCTGCTGCTCCCCCCCTGAGCTGCACCCTGCCCTGCTCCCCGTGCCCCTCATTCTGGACTCTGGGGGGATGGAGGACTGGCCTTGCTGTGCCGGGGCCCATGTTGTGTGGCAAAAACGGGTGCAGCAGGCCCGCTCGGAGCCTCAGCTCCTGGGTCCTGGGACCTCGATGGACAGGCCACCCTGCAGGTTCCACCAGGGGCCTGCTGCTGACCGCAACACAGACATTTGTTTATACTGCCAATCATTACACCACAATCAGGGTGGGTGTCGCCTCTCTATCTCTATTAACATGATTACAATAAGGGTCTTATTTTCGTAGCTTCATATTGACTCTGTTTTGTGTTATTTGTCTTTCGTTGTATCCTGAGTGTGACGTGACCTGTTTTTGTGTCCACAGGATCAGAAGAGGAGTCTGGAGTGTGAGAGCTTGTTGCATCCCCCATTATCACACTGCTACACAGGAGCCACAGTGGAAAAGCCTCTCAGCGGCTCTCACACCTTCTACATAATTCCACCAGCAAAGCCTTCGTTCACATGATTCCCCAGCTGCCTCCAGGAGTCCAAGCTACAACGACGAAACCATCGTCATTACTGAAAGTGAAATTAGACTAATGCGAACCTGTCGTGATATTTAATATCAAAACATACCGCCGAGTGATCTGAATATGTGAAGACGGGGTGTTGCTGGGGAACACACCTCGTCAGCTGTAGGAAGAATATTTACAATCTCACAAGTTCCCATGCTCCTTGGCGACAACTAACGAATGATCCTTGCTTTGGGTGTTGAGCCCTCATGAAGTGAGACTCCATCTCTGCATCGCTCACTCTTCTACAGAATAACTTGATTTATCTTAGAGGTACTTAATTTTTCACGTGCGCGATCTTCGCCTTCCTTCGCTGAGTCCAGTCTCAGCTGAGAGATGCTTTTCTCTCCAGCCTACCTCAGCTCAGATTTCTTAACGCGCCTCACACAGGGGGGTCTTTTAAAGGTACTGCTGTAGTGATTTTGTTTCTTTTTTTTTTTTTTTTGGTCATGACCATGTAGCTCCCATAAACTCAACAACAACAACAACAAAAAAAAAGTGATCCTCCCGGTAGTCCAAACGGAGAGAGAGAGGTTGATGCTCAGCCCCTCAAACAACGAGCATTCACTGAGGTTGCTGAGCCTTGCATGGGCCTTGTTTTCATTATTTCAATAATGGCAGCTGTTTTGTTTGTGTTTTGGATCTTTTTTTTTTTTTTGTAGTCTGTAATTTTTTTTTTTTCATCTTTCAAAAGGAACCGGTTTGACTGAATTTTGTTGTACAAGCTATTGTCTTGTTTTTGTCATTTCTCTTGCCAGTGGTTACTTCATGTTTGACCTCAGTGCTGTTAAACCCCCTGATCAGTGAACAGGCTTCATCACAAGGATAACAATCACATCCTCTGCCCCTCACACTGTCGTCCTCCGAAAAGGTTCCAACCTGTCCCTTGCCTTCCAGCATCTAAAGCTCTGGGTGAAAGCTTCTCTACTGCAGCCATAGAAATGACGCAATGAAATAGTATAAGTGGAGTAAAGCCATGCTAGACAGACCCACCAGCATCAGCTCGGTTCGTTGCCGTAGCAGCAGTTTGACTAAAGCTTAGTGTGCCTTCCAGTGCCTGAGAAACGTCTCCAGAACAATCAAACACTGGAAATATGGCAAGAATTCATCTTCGTTACAGCAGTAATACCAGAATCAGTGAAACTCCTTTGTTGTGGGGAAACGTGCGTCGCCGATCCCTGCTTTAGAGCTTAAGGCACTTGAAGGAAGATCCACATGGAAGCAGAAATCAAAGGTGTTGTAAAGACTTTATGCGTTCTGATAGGTTTTAAAATGCTTAATCATGTCAAAACTGCAAACAAGCGAATCGAGGTTTAAATCTTTGTTACCTGATACTCCCACACTGGCAGACTCACAGACAGAAAATATGTTTATAGTCCAAGAAAATAACTGTGGAAAGAAAAAGATGTGCCGTCAAAGATGGCTCGCTTATCTTCTGCTTAGCCGCAGACGTCTTCATGCTCACAGACTAAATCATCTGAGATCAGAGGAATATGAATTCTGCTTCAGCGCAGACGTTCTCTTAGAGGCTCAGTGGAAATGTGATTTGTCTTTGCAGTCAGACTGCAGATACAACCGAGAAAGCACTCATGGATGTTGCAGTAGCACTTAGTAAACCCTCACATGTGCCTTATTCATTCAGACTGTTCATAATCCTAAATCAGGAACCTCCCAACTCACTAAGCTCTTACCTGTTGAACCAAAGAGGCGAAATCTTGAACACTTTGTTGTGTGTTGTGCCTTTTTTTTTTTTTTTTTTCCTGCTCCAGGCCTTTCTTTGAATCTCAGCGTGCGCTCTCCGTGCTGACAAGAGAGAACATGCTAGAATTGAAGTGGAAATCATTCTGGACTCAATAGTTTTGGACAATCATGCAGAATGTTTCAGCTGCAGTCCCGTACTAATACCTCACTTTGAATGTGTCAACACAGCGTCCTCTAGCTAAAGTATCAGGGTTTCCTTTTCGTGCCCAAACAGTCTCAGAGACAGAGATGGAAATGACTGAATTACAAGCAGCACTTTGGCTTGAGCAGATTTTATATAAAAAGAAAAATCAACACAAAACTCATAGTATTAACGTAAAGCAAGCCCGAAACCATCAGCACACGAGTTAAAAAAAAAAAAGCATTTAGCGATGCTGCAGAATACCTGGTGTGATTTCATCCTGTTCAAGATCTTTCTCTTTGTGTTGTTTATGTGTTCGTTTTTATGTTTTGCAAGAATAATGAGCTGAAACTGCCTTTTTTTAATAGAGTAAAAAATAAAAACAGCAAAAAAAAAAGAAAAGAAAGTCCCTCCAGAACGTTAAGGGATGTGTCAGTATATTTTGGATACTTTGTGTACAAAAAGAGAACAACGAAAACAGAAATGAAATAGTGTTGTATTTTATATATAATAGAACATTTCAATATAGTGACATGTCACTAATATATTTATTTACTAATATATTTATCCATTTGTCCAGGTTTGAAAGAAAGAGTGGTTTCTGTATAGACTGAATGTTTCTATATGGAAACTGACCGGTGCCATCACAGATGTATCAACCTGTCTTCATTCCAATTATATGCAAATAAATTATTTTGAAATAAAATCTCTGTTCTGAATTTTCTTTTTCTTTTTTGCAGGAGAATAAAAATGTTTGCATGGCAGCATTGGTAATGAAATAATGTCCCTAAAGTCAGGCCGATAGTTTCTGGCCTACTTCTCATAAAAGTATTAAAGATCAGTTATTATTAGTTAGGGGCTGCAAGGTGGCGCAGTTGGTAGCACTGTTGCCTCGCACCAAGAAGGTCACTGGTTCGCGTCCTGGAATCTTTCTGCGTGGAGTTTGCATGTTCTCCCCGTGCAGTGTGGGTTCTCTCCGGGTTCTCTGGCTTCCTCCCACACAGTCCAAAAACATGTTGAGGTTAATTGGTGATTCTAAATTGTCCGTAGGTGTGAATGTGAGTGTGCTTGGTTGTCTGTCTCTAAGTGTAGCCCTGTGATAGACTGGTGACCTGTCCAGGTGAACCTGCCTTCACCCTGAGTCAGCTGGGATAGACTCCAGCCCCCCATGACCCTAGTGAGGATTAAGCGATGTATAGATAATGGATGGATGGATATTATTAATTGCTGATTTTATTAGACCTCAGATAAATTCTGGTAACACATTTTTCTCATTTTTCACAGTTTTCTCTGAACACAAGGAGCACAAAGGGAGCTCAGCAACGTATCAGATATCTATATGAAGAGTTCATTTGCAAAAACAGACACCTCCATCTTCACAAACCTTCAGAAAACTCACTTTTCCATCGTCTACCTGAGACAATATCAATCAAACCTAAGTTATCTCTATTTTTGTCATTTCTACTGAGTCAAATCCACTCAGCTTCAGTTTGATTGATATCATCTCAAGCAAACAACAACAAAAAATACGTTTTCTGAAAATCTACAAAAATGGAGTTATCTGTTTTTGCAAATGAACTCTTCATATACACTGCCTATAAAAGTACTAATATATATGAAAAGTTTTCCTTTTTATCGGATCAAGGTTAATTGAATTAAGCACCTAATATTCACGACCTTTCATCCAAGGTCAAATGTCACATCACCAACATGGGTTCCTACCTGACTGTAATCACTACTATGTGTTTATCTGACACCTTTTCCAAGTCATAATGGATTTAAAGTTTGTGATGATTTAAGACCTTCAGTATATGTTACATCACCAGTTTATAGGCCTTGAATGTCTTGCAAAGTTAGTATACTTCTGTCTTTTTGTGCATTTTCAGTCATAGCTGTTTTTGGGGAAATGTAACCTCTGACCTCTGTAGCGTCACCAATGCCTGTATTGACCCCAAAATCCAATCACACCGAGGTCATGGATGAAGTTTCAGGTTCAAAATCCTCTCCTGTAAAGCGCAAGACTATTAACAGTCCAAAAAAACACACACACAAAAGCAAACACATGGGCCCGATTACTCTATAGTTTCCCATCGATGGGCAGCTATAATGAAGGTCTGGGCTCTGACGCGACCTCTCCAGAACATTCACCTTGTCGCCTGTCAACCATTTCGATGTGACTTTGGCTGTATGCGTCAGGTTACTGTCTTGCTGGAAAACAAGTCCCAGATCCCAGCTCTCTTGCAGACTGCATCGGGTGGTCCTCCAGGAGTTCCCTTTACTTTGCTGCCTTCATTTAACCCTCTGTCTTTACAAGTCTTCTAGGCTCTCCTGCTGAGAAGCATCCCCACATCATGATGCTGCCACCAGCATGCTTCATGGTGAGGATGTTTGTGACAATGTGCAGAGTTTGTTGTCCACCAAACAGCATCTAGTCTGATGTCGTTATACATACAAGGTTTCAGGCTCTTACTAAAGTAAAGGACACATTTTCATTCATAAATCAGGAAACTGTCTTACGCTACGCAAAATGATGATTTGAAAAAATGATGAAGAACTGCACTGTTTAATCTGCTGCTGATGGTGTTAGAAAGTTGTGTAGTAATCGGAATCAGGATCTCAGTTTAGTAGAAGCTAATAGAAAATGGAAGAAGAGCTTGTATGTGTCCTTGTCGCCATAGAAAGCTGTGATAAATACAATGAAAACTGAATATTTTCTAAGAGATGCATGAATGATAAAACTACTTGTTACAAAAGTCTATTCCTACTTCAGCTGTATTATTTCTTCATACAGCAGATTACGTTTTCCTCAGTCATTTATCAGAAGCTGCTTTAGTGTTTTTGGTATTGTTTAATACACCACCTGAAGATAGTAGCAAGCGGTGCTGAAGATTATTAATGAAGCAGTATGAGAACTTACAGCAGAGAGAACTACATATGAACTATGATACAGTAATTAGACATTATGCTGAATGCTTCCTTTATTTACTAAATGATTGCAAACCAAACTCCAAACCTTAAAAATTAATTATCTTGATTTGTGATGGTGTTGTATTAATGTAACCTCAAAATCGTTGCACGGCGTTAATGAATGTGATCTCTAGTAATGCATCGAAAGGCTGAAAAGTGAGTTCAGAATTCAAGAGGTTTAGAGATTTAAATGGTATGACGCAGAGGAGATAAGGACTCAAACTGAACATTATTTGAAGTCCTCGTGGCAACACATCATAGCATAGCAGAGGAACAGTTGGAATTTTGGGGGATTCATTTATTATTTGCCTCCTAGATGTGAACCTGACACCACGCTCATGTCTGTGCAGTAAATATGGAGCCACTTCCAGCTTAGCTTAGCATCAAGACGGGACAGAGGAGAGACAGCCAGTCTGGCTTCAATTAATAGGTAAGTAACATTTTCCACCTCGCACCAGCTCTAGGACAATGTGCTTGTAAACTAAAGTGTAAATAAATCTCCTCCACCTGATTGGTCATTCATTAAACTAAGCCAACTGTCTCCAGCTTTACATTCATCACAAAGACACCAGAGCAGCGTCACTGTTCTCCTGCAGCTCACCGGGAGAAAGCAAATAATTGTCAAACTATTCCTTAAATATTCATGCCTCCGTTTCCCAAACACACTGGCCGACCCACACCAACTTGAGTTTCTTTATTTAGCCGTACACCGTGCAACCTACTGACAGCATATCTGATAACGTCTGCAGCTTGTCGCACGCAGATACTCAACACTCTGCATTTGTGTGTTTGATGCTCTGCAGTTGTGGTGATCGCCTGTGAAACGTACAGCCATATATAACAGTCTGGGTGTGTGGTTTGGCAGCAGCAGTCTGAGGATCAGTAGAAGGCTTTGGCCTTCCCCTCGGGTGTCAGCACAGTGAGGTTGCCCCTGGCGTCTTGGTCCTTCTCAATGGCCTCAAAGAGAGACTTGAAGTTTCCTGCCCCAAAGCCCTGGAGAGAGAACAGACACACACAGATGGCTAATTACCCCGAGATCTGCCTTCTTCTGTGTCATTTGTTATGGCTCTGGGGATCTTCTCTCAGACGGCGTTCGGGGTGTTTAACACTTTGATGTCGGATCACAAACGGCAGATAAATATTCTCACAGGGTTCAAACATCCCCCCCACTCTGACAGGGGGCTGCGCTTTACGGGGAGCTCGCAAATTAATCATGTAAATATTTTCATAGATAATCAAAAGATCAAGTGTTGGTGGCTCCTCTGAGAGATTCTTTGCTGCGGTTCAGATTGGGTTTCTCACTTTCATGCATTGTATCCACATCTGTGGACTCTGGAGAGTGACAAGAAGCGCCTGTTCTGACAGGCAGAATGGGTGCTGGGTGTTATAAATTTAGTGCCACAGGGTGCAACCCAATCCAAAGATCCCCCTCGCTGTGAAGCAGGGAGCCTTTTAATCTGTATCTCTGATAGATTTACTGAGCTTTTACAAGTGGGCTGCTCTTACACAGCTCTCACTGGGTGGGAGCTGCAAACAGGTGTTCCAGCGGCTGTCTCGGCTTCTGTGAGGCGGTGAAGGTGGGAAACAGGACCACAGGCCTGTAAATACCAAGGCTGGATTACAAACCAGGCACAGCGGGCAAGTGTCCAGAGGCCCCAGTCCCTGCAGGGGCCCCATAAGTCACAGGATTATTATTTATTGCAGAATTGTCTGATTTTTTTTTCACACTGAAGTACAACATGACCTGTAAGTCTGTAGAGGGATCTTGTCAACATGTGGTTTTATATTAAATTCTGCTTTTTAGGTGTTTCTCCTTTCTTTCACTTTATCATATAATTGCTTTTTGTGCATGTTCAAGTTCTGTAAACCCCAAAGTTATTCTCTCCCACAGGTAACATTGCTACCTACCAGCCTGAAATGACTCGTTTAAAGTTCAGGCTTCTCTTCTGTTACTCGTCTACATCACCACGTAACACGTTTAGCAGCTCGTTTGACACACCCTCAATCAGAGAATGAGCAGCAGTCTGACATTATTTTCTTGCCAGAGCTTCTACATCCCTAAACGTATAGATCTAAACTTATGCTACCTAACTTCTTTTTTATCAGGATCTTCTTTTCCTGACTTGCTTGAGTTCCTTGAAGACGTTCCACCTCTCATCAAAGAGGCTTCATCAGTTCTGACTGACTAGTTGGGAGTTCCAGATACTGATATCCTTAAGGAGTCATTAACACCTGAGTTTTGATTTCAGTTGGGGGTTTGTTGCTCCTCCCCCTCGTTAACAACGTTAGCAACAAACCCCCAACTGAAACCGAAATTCAGGTTCAAGGATATAAGTATGTGGAACTCCCAACTAGTCAGTCAGAACTGATGAAGCCTCTTGGATGAGAGGTGGAACGTCTTCAAGGAACTCAAGCAAGTCCAGTTGCTACGATTAATTTACCAGAATAACCATGATGACCTGGATGACTGAGTCTCTCCACAGACATTGTGCCACCATGTTTACAAGTGATCCATGATTGTCACCCCTTAAAATTTCACAAACATGTTTTCAGGTGAGCTTGTGTCTTCCTGAGAGTAGCCAGGCTAACTTGTAGTTCACACCATGAGGGGGTCATAGGTTCCCAACAACTACTTTCTGCCCCTGGGCCCTACAGGAGGTTAATCCAGCCATGCCACCAGTGACAGCTTGAGACAAAGACAAACACAAAGATTACCATCAGCTTACTAGTTATACCAGTAGATTGCCTAAATGGTCACTTACAAAGTGGTTATTCCTCTGAATGACCTCCAAGAAAAGCGTTGGTCTGTCCTGCACAGGCTTGGTGAAGATCTGGAGGAGGTAGCCCTTGTCGTCAAAATCAACTAAGATTTTCAATTCCTAAAAACGAAACACAGACCATTTATATTTTACTATTTAGCGGAACAAAGACAGTTAAAAAGTCCGTCTCGCTGAAATGCTCCTCACCTGTAAACGGTTGAGATCCTCCTTCACCTTGATTTTGGCGGTTTTGAGGTTGGCCCTCAGGGTGTCGTAGTACGTGTCAGGAGCTGCGAGGAACTCCATCCCTCGGGCGCGCAGGTTCACTATCTGTTTGAAGACGAAGATTGAAAAAAAAAAGTAAATAAATCAGGATCTCGAACCCGCCTTGAGAGCGGGAGGCTGTGGGTTAATGTGGAATTTTAGTGATAATTAAGAGACTCACGGCTTGAATGATGTCTGTTGTGTTGAGAGCGATGTGCTGAACACCTGGTCCTCCGTTGTAGTCCACATATTCCTGTCAGTGCAGGACAATAAATTGACACATTTTAATGCCACAAACATTCTCCTCGGGCTGCCGGGGTCGAGGTTACAAGAACAAACCTCCGGGACTAAACAGAGAAAATGAGCCGAGAGGTCACACCTGGATCTGTGACTTCTTCTTTCCCGTGGCAGGTTCATTGATTGGCATCTTGATGGTCTCTTCATAGTTGGTCACCACTATGGACCTGAGCGCGCTGTACTGCGTGTGGATCTGCTTGTCGTCTATTGACCAGAACCGGTGGAACATCAAACACTTCTCGTACCTGGAATTTGAACACAAACAAGAAAACCGATGATAAGCTCGTAGAAGCAGTCGAACCTTGAAAGGAACAAAAATTCTGACTTTTAGCTGTAATTATTGGCATCAGTGGAATGAAACTAAATATATTTACTCAAGTGTTTTACCTCATTTTGAATTCAACGTATGCATCTTTTACTTTATTTTTCTTTAATGCAAATAATTAATTGATTAACTGAGAAGACAATAACTAGATTAATGTGCTATGAAAATAAACATTAGTTGCAGTTGGATACGAACTTAGTTCAAAATTTGAAAAAAAACTCAACCTCAGCCAGCTGCAACAGCAAAAATCTGCTTTTACATTAATGCATGAACAATAATAATCTAATTATATGATATAACTAGATTATTATTATAGTATAGACATGTAGCAGTTGCAGAAAACAAGCTTCTGCATGGAGCACTTTTACCTTTAATACTTCTGAGTACATGTTTGTGATCATTTACTAACTACTAGTACTTTTATAATATGATGTGAATGCTTCCCCTGCTCTCTGAATATGTGCTCTAACGTCACTGCGACGGTTTGTGGCGTGTTTACTCGTCCTTTTGCCCCTGTGTGCGTGTCTGCTGTACCCGCTGTGAGTGTACGTGAGCTCAAACAGGAGGCTTACCAGTCGGAAATTGGCACCATTTGGTCATCTGGCTGGTTTCCCACAATGTGATCGATAAAGTTCAAACCTCCTGGTGGACTGCAGAGAAAAGGAGAAAAAAAAAGAAATGCTGCGTGGGTACTTTTCCATAGAAGTGAGAAAAAACGGAGGCTCCCCCCTTACATATACATCAGATCCTCAATAAATACATGTTAATTAGCAATTAAATCTGATTAAAATATGCATTTTGTGTTAAAACCTGGATATATGTAGAATGTAATGTGTCTGTATTTTTTTCTGAGTTTCACAGGAAAGGAAATCTTTATAAAGCAGCTGACTACAGCGCGAGCAAATAAAGTCAAATTAGACCTCCAACTAAATATAAAGAAAGTAATTCATAGAAAAAAAAAACAAGTACATTTACACAACTACTATCTTTAAGTACAATTTTAGGATTGTTTCATGCTATTTTCTGCTTCTATACATCCATTCACTGCATTTTACTATATATGTATATATATATCAAACAGGTTACAATGATAATATAATCTATACGTCTGTTTTCATTTTGCTAAGATGCTATCAATCAAATTCTTGTTTAACACTGTTTATTCTGCATTTATTGTATTTTTGTCAAATGAATTGCACTCAAACATATCACCATCTGTATATTATTAACATGACGGATGTTACCAGCAGTACTGATGCATCCTGACACTCCTAATGTGCATATATACTATGTTTGACAAGTTATTTTTATATTGATGTTCGGTTATTTAGCCCTAATAAAACATAGTTTTAGTACTAATATTTACTTCAATACTGGGTCAAAATAACCATTTAAGTTTTGACAAAGTGTGTTCTGAGAACCTGCTTCATTAGATTTAACCCAGCCGTGTGTTTTGGTTGTGTTTTATAGCAGGAGGAGCGTTACGTAAGAGACTCACAGTTTAGCTAACAGAGGATCCCTAAACAGAGGCTCTCTGAAGTTTGGCAGGAAAAGGCCTTTGTAGGGTCCAAGGTACTCAATGAGTGTGTGTGTTGTATCGCCGTACTGGGGACAAAACATTTGCACAACATTATTACTCATTTCCACTTTCTTGAATGTGTTTACACGAGGCTTTCAAACGTGAGTCACTCCTTCTGTACCGTCTGAATCACAGCATACTTGACCCTCCCGTGGCTGTCCTGCTCCACCCAGGGCTGCTTCACCACCACGGCTCCTCGCTCCATGGCTGTCTGTCAGTGCAGGAGTGCAGGAGTCAGTTTGGAAATACAGAAGCTTACAGTTAGTGTTTCTGTCTTCAGACGGCTCCTGGAAGCCCTCCAGTGGCTGAAGCAAGAATGTCTTATCACACACGGTCTGGGCTGTGAAACGCTCATTGATGTTGGTTAGAGGGCTGAGGAGCTGCAGTATTGATCTGAGCACTGTGTCACCGATGGTTGTGTCTCTCTGCAGCCACCTGACGGTCAACACACAGAGTTTGTCTAAACCTGCAGTCTGACCTTGACTGAGGGAAAAAAGAGTTCAAATGAGATGCTGAACCTCACGGCTGCACTTCAGTAGGACCTGTTACAACCGCGGCATGTTTACTCCTATTACGACACACAAGGGAGCTTATTACCACATGTGAGTGTGTGTTTTAGGATTAACAAAAAAAGAAAAGCAGCTACACACCCAGTAGAAGTTAGGAAATCTAAAGCCATGGAGCTCAAATCAGTCACTTCTATTTCTTTCATTACTGAATGCTTAACATTTAAGTCGTGCATGTTTTACTCCACTACATTTATCTAATTGCTTAAATCACATGTTATAAAATATGATAAACTAATTATTTTACACTTTCATTGTGGGTTAAGATAAGTTCATGTTCATTAAACCCATAAAAACTCATCTCTGTGTATCATATTTACATTTATTTATTTACTTTTTTGTCATGAAAATAATCTATTTCTGCCTTAAATGGCTTAGCTGTAACCCTATAAACTGTTGCATCTTGTAAAATGTGCAGCTGTATAAGAGCCCTGCGTCTTCCTCCACCCACCTCTCCCCACTCGCTGCAGCTCGAGCACACCAGCTCACCTACGACTCTGTAAAACTACTGTCAGATTTAGTGATACAGAACGCGTCACTCTGACAGGATTGGTTCTTCAGGTTTGTTACATATGAAACCATAGAAGTCTGAATCTGGGTTTTTAGGACTGTCACCATGACGCTGCAGTTTTAAGGTGGAGCTGTTTGTTTTAGTCATGATGTGTCTTCTAGCATATATATTTAAAAAATCATATGGAAAAGGTAAGAAAACAAATACTTTCACTTGTTTTAAGACTTAAGACAAACAGCTAATTATAATGAACCACACTGTTACCATCTGCTGCAACAAGAACTTTTTATCTAATAATATAATTTATTATATTCTCTTATATATTTCTAACATCTACTCTGAGGTATTTCCTTCTTTTTCCACCACTTTATATAGATGTGCAGTCCTGCAAAATGATATCTATCAGTGACAACAACACGTTGCATAAACGATCCCATCAGCACATCAGAGTCACACACAGACTCCCTTGTTTCAGTTACCTTGACTAAGAAGTCACAGTCCTCCACTTGGAAAGCGACGTCTTTGACTCCGTCTCCGTGTTTGATCAAGTGTTCTCCCATCTCTGCAGGAAGACAGAAGCAGGTTGAAGTACAAGCATTTCATCTTTTACAAAGTGTCCTGATGAGAAGCCTCACCTTCATTTCCAGGGTTTAACGGAGATTGAAACACAAATATGATCTGTGAGGAGAGACGAGGAGGAGTTGTGTTTGTGCAGAAGATGGATATCGTGTCAATTCAAACTGTCAGGATGTTTTACCTTGTCCTGTCTGATGGCGTGAGCCACCACCTCTCTGCTGCCGGTCTCCAAACCTTTGTAGGCCAGAGGCTCGAAGCCCATCTTGTCACAGTAGAATGAAGCTGCCTGCAGAGACACCAAAGTGACGCACACATTGCAGTTATGATGAGTTTTTATATGAAAGAAAGTCAGGTTTATGGTGTGTTCTCCTTTGCAAACCGTAATTCATTTTATTCCCAGGATTTTAAAAAAAAAAGTTTTCTTTCTTTTTCTCTATTAAGTGATAAATAATTTGTCTAGAATTTGCCCCAAGACTGTGATGAAAACGTAAAATGACACCAGTTCTGCTAACAGTGACTTCACAGAGCTTGTTTTTATGCACCTCAGCTCTTATTATCATCAGTTTTGACATCAGGACTAAACCTAAACTTGTAGCTGTTCCTGTAAATGCTCAAAGTCCACATAATAATTCAGTTCTCACTGTTAAACGTGCAACGGAGCATAAAGACAACACTTTTTAAATGGAATTCCCCATAGAGCTCAAAATGTAATCTGAACCTAAACATGAATAATATGGGTGACCTTTAAATTGGTGCTAAAATTGAGAAGAAAAAAAAGACATATGACAAAGTAAACCTGTGCTCATGTGTGCACGTTTTGAATCCTGACCTGTTTGGCGTTGCCGACCCAGAAAGTGACATGATGAAACTTGAGAAACTTTCCCCTTACAGGCTGAAGAAGCAAAAGAACAAATATATTAACAAAGAAGTTTTAAGAATCCTTCAGGTGACATGTAACGCAGCGACTCAAAGACTTTTCTGTGTTCTTACAAGTATAACATGCAGCTTTAATAGTAACTCTGGATGATTTATTTATTCCGGAAACTTTCAGGCACTCATGTATGATTCAGGCATTCTTTTGCAGAACTAACAGAGCTGTAAGTGCACACATCAAACCGCATCACACTCCACAGACTGCTGAAAAACAAAAGCGTTCATCTCACCTTCTCTCCTTTATCTGTGTAGCTTGTCTAAAGGGAAAGAAACGATACAATCATTATAACTTCATTAGCAAGCACTCAGACTGACCTGCAGTCAACAGAGCTCAGATTTATAATGTCACTTAATTGGTTCTTATCCCCTGAATGAGCCATTATCTCCACGATTACTCAGCTGTGAAGCCGTCCACTGTCCCACAGCTGAGAGCTTCTGCCCATCACAATGGACTCTGATTACAGTGGAGTCTCTTACCATGCTGGGATTGCAGATGGGCCTCAGTTCAGAGAAGAGACAGATCAAAAATCAGAGCCCGGCCTGACTGCTTTCAGATAAGTACTGACCTGACGTCCGGCCGTGATTGGTCCTTCAGGATCTACACCCACCTGTCCGCCTCCTCGCTTCCTCGTGCACTTTAGCTAAAAAGTTCAGCAGCGTTGAATCAACTTCTGTCATCCTGTGGCTAATCAGTCCTCTGTGACACAGTTGTCATAGAAATGGAGACACATTAACCTCAGCGAGGGAAAAAAACAAAGTACACATAGTTTACACTCAGTCTAGTCTGGGATGTTCTACCTGAAACACAGAAACAAACCTCTGTCAAGAATATACGATCAAGGTCAGGAGAAGGTTTTATTTGTGACACATCTGAGGCTCATTAAAGCTTATAAAAACCATCATGCACCCAGAATGTGAAAAAAACTGAGCTGGGAGTTCTGCACTGAGTTAAAATGCAGTGACAGTGATAATGAGAGTTAATCCTGTGTCACAGCAGCAGTCCCTCTGAGCTCTCACGCTGGTTCCTGGTTTCCACCACCAGAGGGCGCAACAAACACACACTGACCAGCATGAACCAGAGTCACAACGTTTTACCTGCATGTGATAGAAGTTTGGATTATTCCTGTGAATTCATTTTTATTTTATAGGTTTATATTATTTTCACTGTGCTTCATTTCCTTCTGAAGAAATGGTTTAAAATTGGATGTGGTCATGATGAAAACCTTTTAATTTGCCGCATGTGGCAAATAAAAAAATCACAACAACTATTGCAAAAATGTACGCATACAGTATATTTTGTGATTTTTCCTGGCATTATTTAAGCCACAGCTACAGTGCTAAAATAAATATGTGTATAAATAGATATATTTATACACAAGGCACCGTCTGTGTCAGGCTGCTTCATGTTAGCTTGCATAAAGACTTGTTTAGGTTTCGTGGTTCAGATGTGTATTCACAACAGGGAGCGATCAGCCAAAGACTTCAACTAATGATTATTTTAAAACTAGCTCACAGTGAATCCTTGGAATCCTTGGAATCCTTGGATTTGTTTGGTTTTCATGTATATTTTTGTAGGTTTGTACCTTTGGTCCTAAATTAGACAGAATAATCTCCATAATTAATAATACTGTTGGGTCTTAGCCTTTACATTAAGTCAGATTAATATCAATAATTCATAATACTATAGAGTCTTAGCCTTCACATTTATTACTGTTAGGTAAAGTTGTATTTTATGCAATTTCTTGCAGCATTTTCATCATTAATATTTGAATTACTCGGGTAATTTTTAATTTAAGTCTTACTCTTAATATTTTATTTTGTTGGGTTACTTTGTAAAACCAACCCTATTTTCTAACAGAACACACTTCGCTGCTTTATAAATAACAGTGACTAGACTCAGCAATTAACAATTAATGTCGCTTTTTGTGAAAATTGCTAATTCATCATGTTTACTATCAGATATCAGAGAACAGTTAAAGATCTCTGTTCAAAATATTCCATTTACAATTATATTAATGGACAGACACAAAATATAATCACATTTTAAAAGCTGGAATTTTATAATTTACTAACATTTTTCTCTGTTAAAGACTGATTAACTAGTTTTCCAAACATAACGGACTGGTTGTACTCACTGGTGGGGTTTTGACTTCTCTTTCATTCTTATTTGACTCTATTGATGCTGATTATGTTTATTTTAGTGAAATCATTTAAATCCATCAGTAGAACTCAACACTTCTGTGAAATATTTGTTTAATCATTCAATGTCTTTGTTTCACTTATAAATTGTGTTTTTTTATTTATTTATTTATTTTTAATGACACCATTCTTGAAGCTTTGCTATGTTGTTAACATCATATTCATGCCATCAAAGTCTGATGAACTGAACTGACTAGAAATGTGATATATGAACGCGCTGCCTGCTCTGCTCTGCCTGCTGTGTGCGCGTGTGTGCGTGAGTGTGCGTGCGTGTGCGTGTGCCTGTGCGCACGTACCGCTCCGTGTATGTGTGTGCCCAGTTTGTGCCGCGCTGTGATTTTCTATTGGTGCGCTCCGGCAGTTTAGTGGCGCCTGATTGGCTCCGCTGTGGGTGTGTGAGACCCACTGACTTGCCTGTTGTCACATCTCATTGGCCAACACGAACCCTCTGCCGCCATTGGTCGACGCCGCTCAGTTTCCCACTTGATTATTGGCTGGCGCTGTTGTCATCACTCAAGAATGCGGAAGTTGTGTAGTCTACTGAGTCACCGTTGTGTCAGCTGATTCTTTCTGAGTGAGTAACTCGATTTAATTTTTAAAATGAAGTAACTTCTGGATACCGTGTTGTGTGTGGCATGTTCCCGAGCGCTCGGACTTGTGTTGGACTTGTGAACCTCGAGGCGTTTTGCCGTTTTCTGTCGGCAAACGAGCGAATATTACAGCCCGGTCTCTGGAAACGTTGCTATCCGGTAGCTAGCCTGATGCTAACTAACACCGCACATACACACACGTACGCACACTTTCGGTTTGACAAGTAGTCGCCTCGTAGCACAGTGCCAGGCTGCAGTGAGGCTGTCGTGTACTTTCACTTTCGCCATACGTGTCTTTAAACTTTGTCTCGCCTGTCATTCGTTCACACCTGTTGTGTTCAGTCAACAGAGCACCTGTTATTCTGTTTGAATGCAGCTTCCAGGCTCACCGGGGGAGGCTGGAAATTTCTAGATTGGTGCTTTTTGACCAGAGGAAATCACCCTGGAATCTCCCACTGTGCTGAGAAATTATTATTATAGACTCAGGAGGAAGAGAAACTGGTTTTGCAAAAGGCTCTTTATAGTAACGAGTAAATACTTCACTGGCTGTTGGTTTGATTAGTTCTCCTTTTACATAAGACCTCTGTTGCCCTCACTCTGCTCAGAATGCAGCCCGTTTTTATAAACTCCTTTGATTTATACTCAAGTAAAGTACTGAGTATCCAAGTTTCCTTTAAAATTTAGTATGATTTTTATAATTCATGTTTATTTCAGGGCTGCAAGGTGGAGCGGTGGTTAGCACTGTTGCCTC